AATAAGGATCTGCCACTTTCAAAGGATGGGGAAACACTTTGGTGTGCAATGTAGCACAATACTGATAATCGCTGTAAAGTATCACTAGTGTTTCAACTATGCAGCTTAAGTGACACACGTTCACTGTGAAATTTTACCTAACTCTTGAACTGGCTTTGTCTTACTCCAGCTGTTGCATGCATGTTGTTCACAGCTATGCAGCAAGTGGTGCAACTTCTGTATGTAGCTTTTGGAGTAACTTTCAGTTTTTCTAGGATGCGTATGTGTATCTAATCTATAAGAAAGCAGTTGTTCATGCATTGACCTCAGTATTCAAGTAGATGATGGTAAAGAAGAATTTAGATGCAAGTCTGAGACTGGAGACTGCAACTCAGATATGATGTTTTACACAATGAATTGGGTTTTTTACCAGAAAAACTGCCTACATTGTCAACAGGTACAAAGACTGTATGTCTAAAACAAAGCAACTCCTCGTTACATTTTCTAACTCTGTTAGGTTTTGGGTTTTTTTTGACAAGTTGATTCACACTTCACAAGTATCTTCAGTTACTATTTTGGTGAATGTATTAAAGCTTCTGATAAATGCATCATTTTGCAAATTAGAGGAAAATACAGCAACTGGAAGAAATAATGACATAACATTTTTATTTATGAAAATACATTTAGCTATTCAGTCCTCTAATATATTGAATTTGGGGGATTTCTGTATATATATATGTAACTACTGTATTTTGAATTAATCTGACTGGCTTTAATGGAATACTTAAATGCAAATGATATTTTGTCAAGAAAAGTGTAATAAAAAATTAGAAGAATGGCACTTCAAGAGACCACAGGTTTGAAATTGGAGTTTCTGTTCGTTTTTCAATGTCATGTAGTGATCTTGTATGTTCTGCTCTATTATTCCATAAAATAAGCTTATTTAAACTGACTGAACAATATCAGTATTGTGAATCTATTTACGTAGGTGCGACTAGACTGTTCATAAATCCAGTATCATGCATTATCAGTTCTGTTTAAAGAAACAATAGAAGACATTGCTTCTACATGTAAATGCAATCACCTTCCCTTCATAAAGTTAAATTGGCTTCGTTTAAGCGCGTATGCTGCTTAGGTGTAGTCACCCTGAAATAAGCTGTTGAGGACATTGCAATTTAACTCGGTGCATACTGCGCTACACTTAAGCTTTCAGCAAGGTTAACATCAGTGTAATGGAAACAGAAGGGAAATGCCTTAATTCACATATAAAAGAACAAGTACTGTATATGTCATAGACGACACATAATTCTGTTTTTCAGACAAGACTTTCAAAAGGTTAATGATATGTATTGCTTTAAATTTTATATGCCAGACTTCAAAAATAAGGAGATTGATTCAGAGATGTTCAGAATGATTTCTGAATATCAAACTGCAAAATTTTATAAGGTTTGGCTATCCAACATCATTAGCTATTTCTTAAAAATTTGGTTTCTGGCAGGCTGAAACCACTGAAGACCATGTCTTAAAATGTGGAGCCTTTTTACTCTGCCCAAGATTTTTGAAGCAATAAACTTGGCAACTTACAATTTAAAACAAAAATATAAACAACAACACCTGTACCAATACCATAGCCCATGATATCTGGGTGCTTCCAAATAACTTTTTTGAAACAAGCATAAGGCAAAAGACATAGTGTTGAGTAGTCTTTAAAGGAGTATTAAGAAGTAGTAATGTACAGCATGAAGAGAAGGGGTTTTTTAATTCTTGTTTATAGTAACAGATCTACTGATGAACCAAAACAAACTGTGAAGCAAGAGCCACTTTCTCCATCTTGCTTGCATAGACTTCCAAAAGCTTAAAGAACAATCTTGGTACTAAGAAAAAAATCCCACCTTCCTGAAGATAGAACGGTATTTTCAAATCTCCTTGGAACAAGCAGAAAACTGTTTACAGTAGTTTTACAACAGAGCAAATAGCTAGAGTTGCTATTTAAATTAAATTTGAAATATTTTCTTAAGTAAATTAATTGCCACTGACTGAGAACTTCAGAAATTACACTAAACTGTTAACAGTACGCTGTAATTTCTCTTTTTATTTTTAATCTTTGTTCAAGGTTTTTGATTCTCAGATGAATGCTTGTCATTCTTAATTAGTTGTTTGCAGTTCTAAGTGGAACATTTGAGTAACCATTAAACTCTTATAGAATTTATGATAGATGTAGGTAGAGTAAAGCAAGAAATAATCTCAAGGATCTCATATTCTTAGTCACCTTTAAAGTAAACTAGAACCTTTGATATGCTATCATGCCATGTCCCAATTCTAAAAGCAAATAAAAAAAGGTATGTGCACATTTTCTGCCTGCTATGTAGAAGAAAACATTCCTTTTTGACCTTTGCAAATGATCTATTTATATCCTGAAGCATAAGATTTCATTATCTTTATCTTAGTAGGCATAAGAACCAGTGTTAGTAGCCATGAAATTATTCAATGCTTTTAAGAATTCTAGCTGTGGTATCTGAGACTCTAACCTCTTTAAGGCTGACTGCACACTGTATATGACATTTCCTTTTATTTCTTTTAATTTAGTTGGCATTCATTTCATTTGTATGATGAAAGAAAAAAGGAAGAACTCTGTTGCAGTCTCCTTGTAATCCTAAATATTTCACTCAAAAGTCATTCTAAAAGCTTTTCAATGTTAAATATTACTTTGGGAAAAGTCCTTCAGAATTCAGTATTAATGAAGCAAATTTTTAAAGACAATTATTTATTATGTTCTAGCATGATTAAGTAATACATACCTTATTTTTTTTTATAACTAAGTCAAATTTAATAAACCTACCTTTGTTCCTTGCTACTTTTATATAGGTAACCAGTGCTTTCAGATACTATGTGCTTACTCAAATTTGAGAATTACTCAAATTTTAGATTTGGAAATTGAGACCTAGAGATTGAGCAATTTAGCCAAGATCATGTAAGGGAAGTCAGTGACAAAGCAGGGATAGACTCAAGACTCAAATCCTGTACTGTTATCTCAACTTACTAGAAAAATCCCCGTTTTTAACGAGAAAAGCTGCTTAGCTAATGTCTGCTGCAGGTTCCATAATCTAGAAATTCACCTAACAATGTACACAGTACACCTTGCCCTCACAATAGAGGACTGAAAGTACAAATCCTATTTAAATATTTCCATGACTGCTTGCTTGTTACATGGTTCTGCATGGGGAAAAAGAAAGTAGGCCTAATCTTCAGGAAGACTGTTATTGTTTCTTTTTGCTAATAGCATCATTTTAGTTTAACAAAAAGGGTAACTGTATCAACCTGATTTTTTCAGATGGCATCTAAGTGTATGTAGTTGACACTTACCTTGCCTTTTTAAATAACAGTAATACATCATATATACCTCATGATTAAACAGGCCTGCTACAAAACATGCCTGACAGCATATGGCCACTTTCTTCCTAAAAAGCTGGTGGAGGAGGGCGGGGAGGCTCAGAAAAATAGAACCATGAAGTATTATATTGAATAGAGCTCTGCTCAAAATTATCATCGTCCAATATACAAAGTAGTTTATCCCCCATGAGAGGATACAAAAGCTGAAGAGCAGCTTCTGAAAGTAGGTGTCCTGACTTGGTAGTCCCTTAGTGTAAGAGCTTTTATACTGCTCCTGTACACTTGCTTTCCAGAGACTTCCCACTGGGCTCACTGCTGCTTTACAGTGGCAAACGCATGCTTGCACTCAACGGGCTATCTCCAGGAGTCAAGAATGGGGAGTTTGTTTCTGCTTTTTCTTGAAAGGATGTTTGGCTTTGCCAAAGAAGTTGTGGTGGTGGTTTGGGAGTTTTTCCCCCCTCTGTTTACCACAGCTGTGCAGTGTAACTAGTATGGCCAACAGCCAGCTGTCTGAAGCAAAATACTAACTTTCAGAATTGAGCCTTGGAAGAAGGTGTGAAGAGGTAGAAAGGAGTTGGCTGTAAATTCATTACAAAATGCGAACTCATGTTCTTGAATTCACATTCTGTTATGTTTTGTCACTTAACGTATAATTTCCAATTTCAGGCATAATCTGTCAGGTGTCAAAACAGAGAAAAATCTGACACTTAAAAAATACTTACTGTATGTCATATCTTCGTGGAAAAACTGTTTTTATTGATCATGTAAACCTACTTGTGGTTGTCAAGTATCCCTTGAACACATTTCTATTAATCTGGTGAAGGGCTGAATTCACTGCAGTGCTTATTTTCTGGAGAATGAACAGAGAATCTACATAGGACCTGAATCAGTTTGCCAGAAATTAAAATATTACAAGATTTTTATTTAAATGGAATAATCGGATACTTTGGAAGTGGGATGTTGGTGAACCTGTTGATAGCTGCAACATTGGTCTGTTTCCCTACTGCCTTTTCAGAGAACAAAGGATGTTATTTTTCCCCTACCGTGTCTCCTTTAATTATTTATAATTGCATGCCCTCACTAGGACCTAACTTGCAATCGCTGTAATCCTGTTGTCATTAAATCCATTTATTATTTGAGAATTTGTTCATGAGAATTTACTTTGCTAATTCTGTGACACAAGAAAAACCAGTAGTTACTGGTTAACACTAAAAAGAATCAAAGTGAACCTTCACATGTTGAGTCTGAGCTTGTAAATCAATGGGGAAAAAGACTTGATGCTACTCATAGGAAAATACACATAGCTGATTTCCTCTCGTCTTGTAACAAATAGTAGAGATTCAGTTTAACATAGAAACGGTGCTCAAAAGAATCATTTTACTTAAAAATCTAAAGCATTTAGGCTATTCTCCAAGTGAGTGCTCACAAATAGTTTGGATTGAGTAGTGGGATTGAGCCTTTAAGAGTTAAATAATCATGGTTGGTTAAAGTTTTTTTAAAAATATTTTTATTACTGACTCTGAAACGTGTATTCATGTAGAAAGTTGGTGGATTTGGGTTGGGTGTGCTTTTTGGGTTGGTTCGTTTGTTTTCAAAAATACTTACTTGGGCTTCTTTTCTAAATTTTTCAGCTGGACAGCTTAGCCAGTCAGCACATTTTGCTCTCCAGTTGCCATACAATGTGCTGGGTTTGGGACGTAGTGCTAATTTCCTCGACCATTTGTATGTTGGCATTCCTCGTCCTTTAGGAGAAAAGGTTGGTTGAGATTTAAGATTGTCAAGCTCATATTTATGGTGTTACCTTTCCTAATAGAGTTTGGGTGGAAATACTGCTGGGGACGCTTTTTTTTTTTTCAGAAGCAAGAATATCAAAGTAGTAAGTTTGAATACAGAAAAGTTTGCCTAAAAGAACCTTGCGTGCCTCTCTTTTGGGGGGTGTATAAGCTCTGAAGTTACCACTAAGACCAAAAGATGACTGAAGCCGACTATAAATGTTAGCCACAGGTATATAGTGCTTGTTTATATGGTAAATGTGAATTAGATCTGAGGATCCAATTACTATGATCTCAGCTGTAAGACTTTCCTGGGGTTGGTCTGGCCAGCCTGTGAACTCACATAATCCTTTCTTGCCTTGGTGATAAAACCACGATCAGTATGATGGGAGGTGGAGATTGCCATGATTATCTAATCTTCAGATGAAACATAAAAGTAGGGTCCTGACCATTTTCAGTCTTTAAAGATCTGAGTGTACTACTTTAAAAAATGAGGCATTCAAATTAGCGTACTGGCCAAATTCTGATCTGGATAATTGCCTGCCTCCTTTGTAGAATTGGTTCTTTTCTTCTTTCTCTGTTATGTTGTTGCTTTGTACTTTCTAAGCAGATGCTATGTTTCATGTCAGCAAAAGTTTGCTTCTTACTTTTTCTTCTTTTTTTAAAAGCACTTTGGAGCGTTCAGAGTAAAGGTTTTATATAAATGTAAAGGAATAAGCTCTTACATTTAAAAATTAAAAAAGAGCAAGTGGGTTTTTTGTTTGTCCTTTTATATGTTTCAACAGAGAATTTCTTTGCTTTGAAGTGTATTGGTTTGTTAGGAATTGACATAGCCTTTGTTTTTCTTTCAGGCCATAAGAAGACAAGAATGGACAGCTATCATACCGAACTCCCAGCTTATAGTTATCCCCTATCCTCACAATGTTCCTCGAAGGTAACTTCATCATTTTGATTTGCACTTCACAAAATTAGATTAATACAGAGTTTAAATTAGGCGTTATGTGTAGGTTTAAAAATAGTCACTTGTATAGAAAGTAAATTTAAGAACAATCTGAGAGGGGGTGTCAGTTCTGTAGATATAGTTGCTTCTGTGACTAGGCAGAATACTTCTCAAGTATTTACACAGACTCTTAGTGCCCATAAACAATCAAAATCTATTACCAGCTCATACAAATAATCAAAATGTATTACCAGCTCAACTCCTGTAAATAGTAACATATATGCTATATTTACCAGCATTCTTTTTGACAAATTGCAAGCATGGTAATGATTGAAGCAAGCATTTTCGTTTCACCAAGCATGCAATTTCTGTCTAGTTGCATATAAAAGCTTTAGTTCAGCCCTTCTGAATGCAGTATCTGTTGCCACAGGTATGATTGTTTTTCTTTTAAGTAAAGGTGAATGGGTTGGCTACACAAGAGCTCGAACACTGAATTCACTTTGCAATTAAAATGTTTATCCCAGAAAGAGAGCACGTTTCTTTCTTTGCTATTAGAGAAAACATTAGTCACATATTCCAGCTGCTTTTTGCCGCTTGATCTACTAGTGAGGTCAGTTGAATTTATCATGCAGAAATGATTCTGACATCAGTTTCAGCAGTTAATTTTACTATAGTACAAATACCAGTTAAGAAGTGCCACTTGAGTTGCTAATTAACAACCACAGAAATAACATCTGCCCGATGAAGAAAATTTACTTATAGACTTGAGGTATTTAAAGGTACGTGTTATGCAGAAATGTTTCTGTTGTCTTATCTTTGAACTATTTTTGCTTTCCTATAAGTCTATGGACACTGTAGAATAGCAGAGGATAGAATCCCCAGGAGAAATCGGATTTTGTAATAAACACTTCTTGAATTGTTTCAATTTAAATTCTTAAAATCATAGATATGTTGTCTCCTGAGAGGTCTCAGTGCTGCCTCAACATAGAGCCTCCCGCTGACAGCTTCCAGCTTTCCCATGATAGGAAGCCTTGAGTACAAAAAGGATGTTAGTGAGCCTCAGGACCCCACAACATTCGAGCAATGTCTTCCAGAAGCCCTTAAAGTGCTTAGCTTTGCTCTCCAGCATTCTCCTGCCATAATCAACTGGTTCTGTTTTCTACAACTGCAGTCGTCCCTAGGTGAACTTCAGACTGAGAGATGCCTAACCAGCTGGACACCATGAGCCTGTCCACGGGGAGCTCCTTGTGTGGAGGAAACAATCTATTTTACAGGCTTATTTAACCTTGCTTCTCCATCTCCCCAAGGCAGTTTTGTGGAAGGTTTTCCTACGCAGTTTACTTTGTCCTGAGCAGGGGTGGGAGGTAAACCTCCTAATGAGAAAAAAAAATCAGTCCCTGAGGATATCCATAGCATTCCTAGAAAGTTAAATAGAAACTGAATTTAGACATGGCATTACCTGGAAGTAATTATATTAAGCCATATATAAGTTAAATCTGTTTTCTGCTACTTAATGAAAGGTATTAATGTTTCCGTGGATTTTCTTCTTTTGTGTAGCTGGAGTGCCAAGCTGTATCTGACCCCAAGTAACATTGTGCTGCTAACAGCTATAGCCTTAATTGGTGTCTGCGTTTTCATCCTGGCAATAATTGGCATATTACACTGGCAAGAAAAGGTAAGCTTAATTAACTAGATTTTTTTCCTATATTTTCTATACTATTTTACACTTCCTAATATTTTACAGTCTCGTACATTAGGGTTTTTTGACTAGTTTTCTGTAGTGTAATTTCTGACACAGACTGCATTAATTTCCAAAAGGTGTTTGTTATTAATTCAGTATTTACTGCAAGCTAAAAAATTGGCGTTGTTTTTATTTAAGCTCTAAGACACTTAAACATGGAAATGAAGAGCAAAATGGATAAGCTTTTGCCATTAAACTGTTATTCCGAACTAAATGAGATAGTTTTGTTTCATATCTAAGCTTTCTATTCTGGAGAGTTTTAAGGAGCACTTTTTTGGAAAATGGGAACATAAGCTCAGCTTACTTGAGTTCTGCTGGTAATCTAAAAATAAGGCAAACTTCTCTTTTTGTGTATTTATCTTTGCTGATTGCACTGACATTAGCATTCAAGACTGTATAGGGAGTCAATCGTGTGCATATTGGCTGCTTTGCTCTCTGAATTATACATGCAGCGTATAGAAATCCATTGATTTGAAGAAGCATTTTGAAAGGGCCTTTCATGTCACAAAAGAAATGCGTTCCCATTTTTCTTAACTATGCTCAGCTCACAATCATATCCAACTGGCAGGATTGCCAGTAAATGCTACTACATACCCAAACCATAATCTTAGCTGTCAAATAAAATTACTGCACATTTTGACATGGTAGAACTGTTTGTTATTTTGTGCTTGTGGAAATAAAATGACCTTGTTAAACATTCAGATAGGCTTTGCGCATTTCATGTTTAAATAAAACACACACAGCAAAGAATAGTAAGTTTATGAGGACTGTCCTTAGCATGTCCTACTGTACCAAGAAAGCATTTCTAACTAGTAGCTAGGACTATGCACTGGCTAGCTTTAACTCTATCTCCAACACATCTTAAGCAACAGGACTAGCAGAAAAAATACTTGGACTTCCAGTTGCAGGATTAACTACATATAACTCCACCTGAAGAAATGGGAGATTTAATGTCAGCGTTTAAAACAATTCTTCGTATAATAATCCATGTATTGTAATGTAAAGAAGCACTCAGCCCACAGCGAGTGCTTTCTGAGCCATTTTAAACCCCATTAGGTAAATGTGAATTAAGTAGTATATTGGTTATATTATAAACTCATTTCCAACAGCTGCATCTTGCTCAAAATAGGCACAAATATTTGGATAAATAGTGTGTGTTTTCAGACTCCTGTAGAAACATTTGTTAATTCCTGTAACTTTCTGATTGATTTTTACCTTCCCAATTTTTAGAAGAAATGGTTGAGGTACAGAACAAATAAGAATCTTGACCAAGGCTGTATTGTTCACTGACATGACTGGGAGTTAAAACAAGTTCCTTGTTTCTAAGCTTGTTTGTGGTTTACTGCCTCTTTCAGTAATCCTCTCATAAAAATACTGTTCTGCCTAAATGCTGTTTCCCCTTACAGACTCTAGAGTACCTATAGCAAAGAAAGGAATGGGAAATGTACTGGCAGTTACAATCTCTTCTTTTCCCCCCCTGAGGATATATGTGTCTGTAAGCTGCAGTGTTTTATTCAGCAGTTAAAATAAACCACATAACTTTGACCTCTGCAGATAAGTAGTAGTAGGAGCCGTTTGTCTACAGTAGTTCTTACACACTCGTCTGCCAGCCAAGTATTGTATTGTTCAAATAACTGTAGGGTTTATGGATAGTATGTTGCTCTGTCATGCCATAGAAAATTTGGAGCCATTAAAGAAAAAGCTTTTAAATCTCAGCTACTAGTTTTTAGTTTTGATACATCAAATGAAAGAGAAATTGAAGAATTATTTAGACCATTATTCATCTTACAACAATATAGTCTGCTATATTAGCTAAGGACCTTGATATTCCTGTATGCTGATTCTTTATAACTTGCTTTGTGGTCTTGAGGCTAGTCATGTGAGCACTACACATTGATGATAATACTGCTAGAGAAGTTTTGATGGATTCATCAGAGTATCAGTTACTGTCAAATTTGAAGTAGTAATTTTTTCAGGAAGCACACAAGAAATGGAGTGAAAATTGCTTTCTAAGTGAGACTATAAATTTTTGTGCAATGTGACAAGCATTTCAATGTAGGAAAGAATATGCCACTCCCTTCTTCCCACCCCATTTTTGACATTCAAAATACTACTGATGTTGATAAAGTCCCTGCCAAAAAGCCAGGCTGATATCTCTTAAACTCCACTGACAGCCCTGCTGCTGCCACAAAATGTAGTAAAATCCATAGTTAATCCAATGGAGTTGCTATCATACATAAACACTGTGATGAGGAAATCTTTGGCCTCGAGCCAAAGCAGATGACAAACTTTCATGGCAGAACACATGCACTGATTTCTACCAAAATTGTCATGTATATTTATCAACTGAGATACAAATCTGAATACCCACACAACAGCATACTGTCAAGGCTGTTCTTCATTCTCCTCATTAAAAAAAAAAAAAAAAAAAAAAAAAAGTATAAGCAAGCTAAAAACCATTTAAATCTGTTTTGCTAAATTCTCTTATGCTAGCATTTACACATACTGCCCGTCATGACAAAAACAGTGTTTTCTAGAAAAGTTCACACTAGGTGTTCAAAAATCCTTTAATAAGTGCTTTCATACACTGTTACTGCTTTAGAACACAAGAGGAGGCTTGTGGGAGAGGACATGTTTTTACACATTACATGGATTATAGCTACAATTTAAATATGCTTTTTTCCAAGCGCCATCCAAACTACTCTTTCAGCAGATCAACATGTGTTCTGCATAAATAAGCAGAGATGCATCCTACCTCACATTTTTGTAATACAAACAAAAACATGGAACATTTTTAGCCTACTTAGTGCTGTTAATTGTTGGTTGAACTGCCATCTTTGTCTAAATTTGTATTTAACAGATTTTTTTAGAGAGAATCTCATTTTAAGTGTAACATAGATGACATTTACAGTTAATCCAGAGTAATTTCATCTCGTATTTACAACGCAGACTAAATAAATGCATACTAGGAAACATTATTTGGTTTTGAAATATTCCTTTTAAAAAAGCATTATTAGAAATAATAGAAAATAATGGGTCATAAATACTAAAACAGCTGAGCATTAACAGCAGAAGCCAATTTTGAGTAGATTACTGCTATTTCAAACTGACATCTTTTAAAGGCTAATTATTGGGGCCTTTTACTAAGCTTTTTGCCTTTTGTCAAATGAGTGACTTGGAAAAAATCAACCATTCTCTGACATTTGACAACTCATTTCTGTAACTGTGTTACTCTAGATCCCACAAAGTGTTTTTTAAATTATTATTTTTCAGAAAGCAGATGACAGAGAGAAGCGACAGGAGGCTCATCGGTTCCATTTTGATGCTATGTGACATGCCTTAATATTTATGAAGGAGCTGCTATTCATTTGCTTAATTGAAATACTAAATTCTGATCTGTAAAATGATTACCGTGAAAATACTGCTGGTGTGCTATTTGTAAATGTTGCGTTATTTGATATTTATTTGGAAAGTATTAAAATTAGACCTGAATGTCTCATAAGGCCTTTCATTTAACAGACTGTATATAATAGCATTCGGTCTTTATTTAACAGAACTGTAAAATAATTTTTCTTAGTAAAGGGATGAAATTGCATGTACCATTGTTTATGTACCACCAATTCTTTAGTAATATTTGATAGAAAGAAAGTTGTGTAAATAAAGTTTAGCATTTCAGCAAGCAGAATACTTTGTACCACTTGAATTGGTCTTGTCATTTATACATTCCTGCAAAATAACCTGCATTTCTGAAAATTAAGCTTGAGCAATTTCTCAGATAACTTGATCATTAATTATTCTGAATGTACTAAATGGTGCTTAACCTATTCTGTATTTTTCTTTGTTTAAATCCATATGTGCAATGGTTAAAGAATTTAGGAACTGGAGAACTAAAAAGAAACCTGCAATGTTAATGCTAGTTCGGTAGCTCATCATGGGATAGATGCAGTATTTATGTGTGTTAGTTCTAGAGAGAAGACAACACATTAAAAAATTAAGGTCATAAAAATGTATCAGCATTACATAAACTGCTTTTATAATTCAACTATAACCACATTTATTTTAGAAAGGTCTAAAGTCGTTATGAAAGTAACTTTCTTTTTTTTACTTACAAGAAAGGTATGGGATTTTTTTGTTTGGTTTTGTTTTTAACGAATTTCAAAGAAACATTTTGGAGTGGAAGGAGAAGGAATGAAGACTGACTCCCTGAAATTTATTGCTAAGGGATGAGATACACAAAAATTAAATTAAGAGTATAATAGGACACTCAGAATAAGCAATGTACGTTATCTATGTACACTACTATGCCCAAATTTCATAAGGCTGTGATAATTACATAAGACGAGTAGCTCAACTTTCTGTATTTAAAATGGTGATAATGTTGCTCAGTGTACTTTGGATCCTGGAAGAGTCTCTAAAAATAATCGTGCTTTTATTTAATAGCTGTTCCTTAGTGATATGAGTCTACACAATTAATTGTGCATTTAAATCTGTCAGCTTGCATCCTAATAAATCCTGTTTGATAAACTAGAATGTACTTTCTCAACAAATACGAAGTGTTGGTCTTGCAGGCAATCACCTCTGCAGTAGGTATCTATCTCCTCCGGTCTGGCACTTGTCCTGTAACCTGCTGTCCTATAACACTACCTTTGCTTGATGCTACAGGAGCAGAAAAGAGAGAGCACATACAAAGCTGAAGTGATTACGTCCACCCTGAATCACAGTCAAACAATTTGCTACCATGGCAGTGCTGAACAGTGACCCATTCATACAGCAGCACCGAGCCAAAAATCAGAAAAGTACTGATAAGCAGTCTACTAAGCTGTGAAGTTTTACTAGATATTTCTAATATGAACTGATCAGATTCCAACAAAGGAGACTTTCATATTACATTGCTGTTACTATTCAGGATAGCATATCTCCTTAATGCACACCTTTAATATTTCTCTCAGAGTGGCATGAAAAGGTAAGATTTTTTTAGATAAATACTTAATGCTATTGGACTTTTTAAACTGCATTGATAGAATTTGCTCCAGACAGCAGAAGTAATAACGGATTTCATAATTAAGAGGAAGCACAATTCTATATATTTTCCTGTCTTTTTCAGATGGTTGGAGAATAAGGCTAAATGCATAATGCCACTGTTGCGGCAAAGTTGTCTGTAGCCCTCTATCACAATATAATAAACATAGATTAGCCTCCTTATGTTTTTTGGAAAAACAATTAGGAATGAAATAACCTCATGCTGACATTTAAGCTGTTGTCAAGTTAACAAACAATGAACTCAGTATCTTTTGCTTTAAGGTATTTTGCATGCTCTGTAGTGCATCATTGCATCACTATATACAGTAAGTTATTGGTGCTTTAATAGCTTGCTTATAATAAACTTTACCACAGGTTCTAACTACTCATAGCTTGGCTCGCAACAGTATATGCATACTATTTTGAATTAAGGCATTAAATATTGATAAACCTCTTGTCAAAGGTTTCATGTTGTACTTCGGTTTTCTATTCCATAAGCGTCAAAAAGATGTTTGGGTAAAGTTATTACCCTTCTACCAGTAAGTTTAAGAAAGCAGAATCAATTAGAAAGTGTAGTTCCAGGTGATTGTCACGGTAACTGAGAAGCGAGGAGTAGTTCTAACTACATAAATTTTCAAAATCCATCCACCATAACACAGCCCTGGTGAGAAATGCTATTGGAAGGCTTCTTCAGTGTGAAATCTCACCTATATAAAAATACTGTTGACACGCCAACTGACAGATGGCTGTTGAAATACCATCTTTCTTTGTTCTCATTTTCCATGAGAAGCTTTAAGACTGAATCTTACTACCAGATTTATCATTAATGCACTATAATCCCCCAACAAAAGAACCAACTTTTCTGCTGCAGATTAATAGGCACATTCTATACACTATGATATCTCTTCTATGATGAGGCCATCTTTCTTAACAGACAGCTTTATTAAAAACATTTGCTACAATTAATTGAAAAGTAATCACTATAAATGCACCAAGTCAATTCAGGACTTTTATAACTACCTTCAAATAAATGACACCTAAATAGAATAGGAGCAGCCAATGCATAAGTTTCTACTATATTATAATCATTGGAGCTTAGTTGTATTAAAACAACGTAAAAGCATTGTGTGGCAGCATTGAAGGCATTAATAACCAAAAGAATTATTTTTAAAAATCCAGAAAATAAAACTATACTTAAAATAATCTCAAACTTTGCAAATAAATAGTATTAAGACCAAACATCTACAATTCAAACACATTCTAAACAGATGGACAAATTTTTTTATCAAAGACTGAGAAGTATGTCAAGAAATCAAGAGCAATAGAGATGTTAAATCTGAAATACTGCTATGCTGTTGCAGTAGCCCTATTATCTATTCTATTTTTTTTCCATGTCAGTGGTGATCTTTTTGTTGAGGCACTAGTAATATCAGCCTCAGCTGTCACTTTGAAAATAATCAACCACACAGCACTATTCTTATAATTAATTCCTCTCTTCAATGAAAAATGTGATCCTGTCTATGATACAATCCATAAAAACTGTAAAATATATGCTAACCTTATTTTGAAAATCCTGAATTTCCTGACTTAAGCCAGAAAAGTTTGTAGGTATATTCTAATACTCAGGTCTAATTATATTGCCTAGCAAATAAGAGAAGCGCAAGACTATCAGTATTCATAGAATCATAGAATGTTTTGGGTTGGAAGGGACCCCTAGAGCTCATCTAGTCCAACCCCCCTGCAGTGAGCAGGGACACTGCTAACTAGATCAGGTTGCTCAGGGCCCCCTGTCCAACCTGGCCTTAAATGTTTCCAGGGATGGGGCCTCCACCACCTCTCTGGGCAACCTGTTCCAGTGTTTCACCACCCTCGTTGTAGAGAATGTCTTCCTTATATCCAGTCTAAACCTACCCTGGTTTAGTTTAAAACCATTATCCCTTGTCCTGTCACAGCTGTCTCTACTAAAAAGATTTTCCCCCTCTTTCCTATAGGCCCCCTTTAGGTACTGAAAGGCCACAATCAGGTCTCCCCGCAGCCTTCTCTTCTCCAGGCTGAACAAGCCCAACTCTCTCAGCCTGTCCTCATAGGAGAGGTGCTCCAGCCCTCAGATCATTTTTGTGGCCCTC